ATAGTTTCAAAAAGTACTTAAATTATAGATCCCATACTATAGGCCATAGCACATTGCATAGCCTATGCATGAACATCTTCAACAGAAGGCTTGATCTCGCTTTAACTACGTACATCTTATCAAGGCCTTCACGTAATACCCTGCATGTTGCGGCACTAATTTTGATTTGGTACAAGCCCAACTTTTGAGCCTAACAGATTCCACTAACGCTGCGAATACCAAGTCTCGCGCTTTCAAGCTAAAATGTCTACCTGTGATAATCGAGTTGCAAAGTTCAAGGTTCATTCAACGTCAAGGTTTCTGTGGAGGTCGCGATGTCACAACCTCTGATTAGACACTACTGAAGATAACATAGCTATAAGTTCGGGAATTGTGAAGTAAACAAGCAACGGCCAGATGTTGTGAAACTCGCAGTCGTTGCTTCAGGAACATGATGCATGAACTGATATTTGATGTTATTATATTTTGTAATAATTGTAATTGAGATAGCGACTGGAAATTTTGAGACAACTTTCCTATATTTATGAAGTTAATATTAACACGAAAACCGTATTTTTTACTTTATTTTTTTTATATTTTTAAAAAGTACTTTAATTTTAGATCTACAGATTTTCTTGAATTTCTTGAAAATAATAAAACAAAACTACTTTTTAGTTTTGGGTCCATTATTATATTTGAGGATGTAAACATCATGTGTATTTTTGTAACCAAACTGATTCTTCAAAACTATTTTCAAAGAAAAAAAAGAGATGCATTTAAGATATTTTCGTAGCAAAAATAAAAATCTTGATATTAGAATCAGGTGTTTTCATACTTGAGCTTTTTAATTCAAATTGATTCATTACAAATTTTTCCAAAGAAAAAAATACCCATCTGAATACAAGGATTATGTACGCTGGTGTTAGTCAAGAAAGTTCTCTGGCATTTTGCAGCATGGTTTTTCCCAGTCGGTAGTGCAGGAGGGAGGGCCTGGCAAAGAACTGTCTAGTTGTGTAGATGGGACAAAAAACACAAGCTCATGTGTACACATTGACATCATGCGTAATTTTGTAACCAAACTGATTCTTCAAAACTATTTTCAAAGAAAAAAAAAGTAGGACATAAACATATATATGGAATGGGGTTTAACATTATCTTGTCAACACATGCAATACTTCAGTATTTTGTTGGGATAACATATGGTAATCTTTATTCAATTACTGTTTGTAAAATGCAAGGATGGAGAATTTTGCCCGCACAGCGTCTGTGTGTCCATGCTTCTTCAATTTTGAACTGTTGTTGTTCTTAGTGTTTAACGTCTGCTTCCACCGAAGGTAATATCGCAGACATGTCTTATTTTTCATTTTTATTATCTTAGCGCATGCCAGGGATCTTAATCGGCTGTTTTTTGTCGGCTTTAGCCGATTGATCTTTAATCTAGCCGATTGGTAAAACAATGAACCCGCCACTAAGGTATCACAAATCAATCTACTTTCGGCTGATTTACAAAGAATTAATTATCAGGCCGATTGGTAAAACAATGAACTGGCCACTATGGTATCATTAATCAATCTACTTTCGGCCGATTACAAAGAGTTAATTATTACTCGTCGATTAAGAAACCCATCAAAGAGTCAATCATTACAATGAATACCTTCGGCTTATTTCATAAATAAACAACTTAACTGAGGTAATCATGCCAAGTACTTGAACACCTCGCAGAATGACACCAGGAAACGTAAACAAGATTTAATTGAAGATAGTGATGGTGGCATTGACCTTGAACTTCAAGCATGCACGTCGTCAATGGAAATTCCAAAAGCCAGAGATCCCCCCACGTCCAATATAGGTCAACCAAATTATCGGCAATAAAAGACCATACCTGCGCAGCAAAGAAAGAAAGACGATGGCAGAACAAAGAGTTTTATTCCCAAATCTATAGAAATTATTTCAAACCGGGCGTTAATTCGAATGCGTATTTCATAGCAAAAGGAAACATTGCCAGCGAAAATTATGAACAATAATTGAACGATTTGACAGAACAGCAGGGACATGAAATGACCAAAAAATTATATTGTGATTTTAATTGTTGTGGTGAATTTATTTCTTTAATATCCAGTGAAATTAAGGAAGAAATCCCCTCAGATATCCAAACTAGTCCTGCTGCATTAAATCCCGACAATTGTATACTGGTAACACTAAAAATAAACTAATCTGAATCACGACAATTGGACGCGTGACCTTTCACGCGTACAGCATATTTCCGAGTTCCGACTATACACGGAAACTGATTTGTGCTACTTTGTTATTTTTATAATTAACATGTGCTTACGAATAATATGATTTAAAAAACAATTTGTATGTACTTGTAGTTTTTACTAATTTATAACTTCTGTTTAGTTGGATGAAAGCAAAAGTAGGAATATGCAATGCAAGTTGCTGAAATAATAATATGATATAAATGTCGATATTATAGCGATGTATGAATACAAGTATGCAATTACAAAGGTCTTGTTTATTCGAAGTTTCAGCTATTATTATCCCGAATATGTTATGCAATTAGTGAATTATGCAATTACTGTCGTGAATAGAGTATGCATAATCCAACATGTTTGTTGCTGAAAAGACGATTATCCCTTCTTCCTACCTGTGGCCGGTTCATTTCAAAATGGATTAAGAACCCTGGCACACGCGAAGGGTTCTTTCGTGTGGAAGGAAACCGGAGTAAACCCCTGAGGTTGAGAAGGCACCCCTATCTCCAAGCCACATACGCTCATACCAGGGATCGAAACCCCAACCACAAGCCAGAGGTGACCGGCCAGCTAGAGGTTAAAGCGCGGCACTCTAGACCAATCCCCCTCCCCCCAATTTTGAACTGGCAAGGATTCTTTAAGTACAACACTGTACATACATACATGGTTCTTTTCTTGTTAGAACAAATATTTACACAACAAAAAGATGTTTATTAGGTCAATGCCTTGATGGAGTGTGAAGATGAGCATTTTCTGCTTAGGGTAAGCAGAGATAAGCAATTTGATTGATTGATGCTTTGGGACACAATAACTTTAGTTCTAAATAAGTGAGAGTGATGAAACTTGGTGTATAGTTTCATTACATCAATACCTTGACTAAGTTCGATATTGAGCATTTTCTGCTCAGGGTAAGCAGAGCGATAAGCAATTTGATTGGCCGAGACTTTGGAACACAATAACTCTCCTTGTAATTGAGCTAGAATGTTCAAACTTGGTGTAGGTGTTTATGAGGTCAATGCCTTGATAGAGTGCGAAGATGAGCATTTTCTACTTATGGTAAGTAGAGATAAGCAATTTGATTTGTTGATTCTTTGGGACACGATAACTTTAGTTCTAATTAAGTGAGAGTGATGAAACTTGGTGGAAAGTTTCATTACATTAATACCTGGACTAAGTTTGATGAATAGAATTTTATGCTTAGGCTAAGGAGCAATAAGCATTTTGATTGGTCAAGACTTGGAACATAACAACTCTGCTTCTAATTGAGGTAGAATGTTTAAACTTGGTGTAGATGTTCGGCTTGACTGAGTTCAATGATTAACATATCGAGCTAAAGCTAAGCAGAGATAAGCAATTTCCTTGGTCGATGCTTTGGGACAAGATAACTTTGATTCTATCTGATAGAGAGTGATGAAACTTAGTGTATAGTTGATTATCAGTTTGATTGCTCGATACTTTTGAAAAAAATAGATGTGCGATTAATTAATATGTGTCATCTATTTATTTGGGGATTTCGGCAGGGGACATCAGCCTCACTGTTGGCTTGTTTAGCTTGTTCTCTATCCATCTCTTGTAAAATGTGGGCGTATCCTGTCAGGCAGCTGCTGGTTAATAAAAAAATTGACAAAATCACTGAAACTTTTGCTCTGGGCGCCACATAGGCTTGTGAGGGCTCTTTATGAACGTAGAAGATGACTGCGACCATCAATACCATCAGTGCTACTGGTGGGACATTCTTATCTGCATAACACTGGGTGAAAACTACTTCATGGACCATAGATTAGTTATTTACTGTCAGTGCAGTTATGTACAAAATATCTTGTGGACGCTCTAGAGGCTAAAGTTAATATCCAATTGACTTTAAATTTATACACAGTGTTTAAGGTCATGAGACAAAGAAGTCTATTGATTTTCAACGATTTCCGATAATTACTGCAAGAGTTATGGCCCTTGGTCACTTTGAAATATCTTGTGACAGCTTTTGACGGAAAAGTTCATATCCAATAAATTTTAAAGTCATGAGACGAAGAAGCCTGTTGATTTTCAATGATTTCGGATATAATTATTGCCAGAGTTATGGCCCTTGATGACTTTGAAATATCTTATGGACGCTCTGGTGGTAGAAGTTATAATCCGATTGACGTTAAATTTATACACACTGTTAAAGGTCATGAGACAAAGAAGCCTATTGATTTTCAACTATTCCGATAATTACTGTCAGAGTTATGGCCCTTGATCACTTTTGAAAAATATTGTAGACCGTCTAGAGGCTAAATAAAGTTAATATAAATTGCGTATGATCATGAGACAAACAGTCGAAATAAATTCTAATGATTTCTGATAATTAATGGGTTATTACTCATAGTCAGAATTTTCATATGTTCTAAATGTACTCATTACTGACAAAGGAAAAATGTGCGACAACTCTTGTTGACTGCACAGAAAGCCCCCCCCACCCCCACCCCCACCCCCCCCACCAAGCTGATTTGCCTCGAACACCTATGTCACTCTACCATCGGTTGTAGCCTGTCAGTTGGCAAAAAAGCGTCACCGAAATATTCTTTTAATATTTACACAACGATTTGTATGTAATAGCAAAATTCAGCAGAATAACTGGCTGGAATTTGATTATTAATTGTATCATACATGTTTGAAATGTCAGCTTCAAAAGCTGATAAAATATGCCTGTTATCACAAGAATATGGGCATGACTGAATTAAAGTTTTAGTCATTATGATTATTAGTTAATATTATGTGGTTTTATTGCAGACGCACAGGATTATATTATTTCCTTACAGAGAGTGGACAAGAAGTGGGCAAAACACATTTATGTATTGTACACGTCCTTGATGCCATCAGGTAGTTATTACTGTTGATGAATGGTTGTGTCACATAAGCATGAATTTTACATGTTATTTCTACTATTTTTTGGAAACACCCACATTTTTTTTGATTGACTTTACCTTTTTTACTGATACATATGTTTGACTGCAATTAAATGTTCAACATTTTTGCCATCACACCAGTTTGTCCATCATCTGTTAGTCTGTCCATCCATCTGTCAAATATTTTGTTATCTTGTCTGTCTCACGAAAGAAAAAAGCCTATTAATATTCAATGTTTTTCGATAATAAACTCCCAGGTTATGCCTCTAAATCTTTTTACCATCAAAATCAGCCTTAGAATAAATTTTATGCGGCCACATTTTGATGAAACTTGAAATATAGATTTGTCTCCAAAAGATCTCGGTTCCTTTTGATATTGGCATATATCAGACTGTAACTTCATGGATTATGGTCCCCGATTGTATGAAAAATCACGTTTTTAGCTTATGGACACTTTAGTAGAGGTATGTTTATAACCCTAAGATCTTGGTTCACTTCCATATTACTGCATCTCAGACCGTAACTTCCTGGATTATGGCCCCTGACTGTAGGAAAAATCGTGTTTTTAGCATGTGAAAATTGGACCGAAACTATCCAACAAAATGGTCGCTCCTTGTACACAAATAGTGTAAAAGTCTGTAATGCTAAGGTTTTGGACCCTCTAGAGGTCTAAAATTTTATCCAATTTTGATGAAACTAAAGATATATGACTATCCTTTCAATATTTGTGCATATCAGACCGTAACTTTCTGGATTGTACGAAAAATTGTGTTTTGTTTCTTAGCTAGTTCTCTTGCAAAAGGTGGGTGTATCTTGCATTACAACCGTTTGTTCATTCATAATCACAGTTTGTATCCGTATGAAATATCTCTACATTTGATTGCTAATAATTCGATAAAATTCTGAATCCAAAAACTGTATAACTGAGAAAACATTCAGCATATTTGTATGAAGTTCAAAGTAGGAATCTTAATCATTGAACCAGCCACAATGGGTATCAAAAATCAATCTACTTTCCGGTCAATTACAAAGAATTAATTAATACTTGTTGAATAAGAAGTCAGTCAAACTTGCCAGCTATAATTTACCGTCATATAGTATGAATAAAATAAAGCAGATAAATAAATGGAAAAAATCACATGGAGTCTCCTTTTTTTTTTTTCTTTTTTTTTTCTTCATTGCTCCAGTTTTTCTATATATGGGGTTGACAGCTCTGACAAAACCTTGTAAACCTTGTGACTTAAGTTTTGAATCAATCTTTGTGATGTTTACCTTGTTGTTAAATTCCAGATGAAGGAATATAAATTTATTTTTATTTACCTGACAGTATCTTGAATTCTTTTATTTGGTTTTGCACAATAAAACCCCTCGTACATTTGTTTACAATTTCTTTTTTAGGGAATATAAATTGGAGATTTTAGATCGATCTTTTCAGCCAATGATACTACTAATAGAAGAAGGAGATAGAGTCTGGTTTCTTTGGGATAAATTCAAGGTATTTTGTAGATACCCTAAAACATGCCTACATGAATAAATTGTTTCAATAGCATTTAGTAATTTACGAAGGGCCATTAGTGCCAAAAAAAAAATAAATAAATTATTAATCCATTTGAACGTGTTGGTATCTTGTTTGAACGAATTAGTATCTCGGTTGAACGAATTGGTATTTCGTTTTAACGAATTAATTATCTTGTTTGAACGAATTAATTATCTCGTTTGAACGAGTGACTATCTCATTTGAACAAGTTACTATCTCGTTTGAATGAGTTAGTATCTTGTTTGAACAAATCAATTATCTCGTTTGAACGAATTAAGATTTTGATTGTACAGAAGCATGGAAGGGACATGCAGAAATTGTGTTTCAAGTAAAGATAATATGATTTAATACGCGTAGGTTCTTTACTATTTCTAGCGTTAGCGCCAGTAGAAGGAACTACACTTGTGAAAAGGGGAATTAGTATAGAATACCTTGGAAATTATCCAATTTGTTTAATGTTAGCCACAACATTGTAGTGAAGTCATTGTTTTATGACATGTACATGCTTAAACAGACACTACGACAGGTATATGTATGATATTGTAAGGACGTGGATTTGAAATGCACCCAATGGGCGTCCTCGCTAGAGGTAAAGGGACATAATTTATAGGTGAGGCGGTCCCATGTGACCTCATTGTTTACCTTACAGCATTGTTTTCCTGTACATTCATTACGAACTGGTGTGTTGACAAACGTTTTGGTCGTTAATATTGAATTTAATCCTGATATGGGTCTTTTATCATCGATAAGGTCACGTGGAACCAAGTTTTTACTAGCGACGTCTGGTGGGAATTCCTTCAGTGAGGCCGCCCATTAAGAAATAAAATGGTAGATTGTGTTTTAGCTGAATTTTCACTAGCTCAGTGAACAGAATTACAGGTGTACGATTGCTTGTCAGCGATGTTTACATATTAAGGATTAATGTTATTGTTGTCAGATGAACTTATTTCCAGTGTTTTTTGCCTTGGAAGAGGATTTGGGTGAGTTTCTAAGATAGAGGGGTGGAGTGAGAGTGTTAAAAAGAAATAACTAATTTGTGCATGCAGCATGCAAAACGATGCCGCAAAATTTATCGCATTGCACGTCGCATTCCTCCCACTAGGGTTTGTTCGTGTCATCCACAGTTTTTCGTGTCATCCCAGGATATCAGCCTTTGAAGGTTTGACAAGATGTGTGCACGGAATGTAACCACCGCACTGGTTGTTTGAGGCTCAGCCCCGCTTTACGCTTTACCATTTTTCAATTAAACTATTAAATGGCCGAACCGTTCTAATCTACTTAAATATGTTAATAAATGTCTAATGAATAGTTCATATAACATTTAAGGCCTAAACAAAGACCTGCAATAGGTAGATTTAGCTCTTGCATAATGCCTATTTAAGCATATACATGTCATAAAACAATGACATCACTACGATGTTGTGGCTAATTCTGGCTAACATTAAACATATTCGGCTTTTAAAACGTGAATAACATCCAACATATTCTATACTAGTTCTCATAAATGTACTTCCTTCGACTGACGGTAACGCTAGAAATAGTAAAGAACTTAAGTATTAAATGACATTATCTTTACTTAAAACACAATTTCTGCATGTCCCTCCCATGCTTCCGTACATCGAAATCTTAATTTGTTCAAACGGGATGATTTACTCGTTCAAACGAGATAATTAATTCATTCAAACGAGATAATTTATTCGTTCAAACGAGATAATTTATTCGTTTAAACGAGATACTAACTCGTTTAAACGAGATACTAACTCGTACTTATGATAATTAATTCGTTCAAACGAGATACTAATTCGTTCAAACGATGATTAATTCGTTCAAACGAGATACTAATTCGTTCAAACGATGATTAATTCGTTCAAACAAGATAACTAATTTGTTCAAACGAGATACTAATTCGTTCAAATGAGATGATTAATTTGTTCAAATGAGATACCATTTCGTTCAAACGAGATACTAACTCATTCAAACGCATTAATATTTTTTTGTTTGTTTGGCACTAATGGGCCTTTGTAGTTAATGAACTGGAATATACAGGTCACAATTCTATTGAATACAATTTGGTACCTTGTACTTTGGGTTTTTTAAGCTGAGAAAGTATACATATGGTTTTATTTCAAATTATTATTTGATAATCGTTAAAAATTGTTTGTAAACTCCAAAAATAGTGGAGTTGGTACCAGGGTTCTTAATCCATTTTGAAACCAACTGGCCAGAATTGGGTCAAATGATGAGGTCCCGGTAGGAAATTTGTTTTGAGATTATAATATTCCATTCCCTTTAATATAACCAGACTTCAGCAAAAATAATTCTTGATTATTTGTTATGAGGAATATCGTATTCTAATGTATGTTATTACCACCATTTGGAAAATTTTCCATATTTAATTCATGTACCGGCTTGAAATTCATGTCAGTAATATTCCTGAATAAATTACCGTCTTCATTTTTTCGATGGATATAAGCTGATACAGCACCATGGTATTTCTTCAATTTGTAGTTTTTGTCTATCACGTAACTTGCAAATGTGTTTATTCATTCGTCCATGATTGATCACGTGACAACCATAATTGAAATTGCTTTAAAAAAAAAATTCTGTGCAACTATGCCATATAGTTTTCAAAAATAATAACAACACTATTTTTAAAATTAAGCCTCATGTCAGCATGTGTAGGCCTATAAAATAAAAAATCATAATAGTAAACGCTATTTAAAACTAAAGCTAGTAGGGCTGTACGATATTCTCGATATAGCCATTTATCGCGATATGGTATTTTCAGACCCATCTACGATATCACGTGGCCAAAAATCGTCGATATAGTGGTTTATCGAATATTGCCAAAAACTTCAAATGTCGAAAAGAATTATCATAAAAATAGATAAAAAATACACTATACAGAAGTGAAAATTAGCCAACGGCAATAAACTATAAAAATGAAACTAATGTTTTGAGAATCGTTAAATGTTGAAAACTCTTGCGTAGTGTCCGCATCCGTTTTTCACTGCATTGTGTATGCGTTACTTTTACTTTTTTTTTAATCTACAATAAATTGTCAGTTGTTACTACATGTAAAGCTTAGGCCTACTAAACGCCTGAAATTTCCCACTACCGCGGCTAATTACCAGGCTATAAATAGGTTGTCATATTTTTAAAAAACAAATATTTTAGAAAACTCTACGAAACTTAATTTCTGAAAGCAAGAATAAAACGATCTATAAATAGATTACTGTCACTTTTAGGCCAGGAATACCACAGCCAATCGAATGCATGAATGGAAGATAGTCAGGATCATTTAGTATTTGTTAAACTGTTTGAACTTACAATACAAGACTTGAAGACCGCATCTACTTACTTTCGTTGCACGTGATATTTGAGGATTTTCTTACACAAGGTCACAAGCAGACGCTTTTTAACCATCAGCGGTTGTATTTAATTTTTATCCAAAAAGGATGTTGTTTTGTTCATTTTAATAAATCTATATTATAAAAAAAAGCAAAGTTTAAAGTGCATGAATAAAGCAATTCTTACCCACAATTCTTACTCACACTGTAGTCAGCTTTAATGCATTTTATATTTAATTTATTTAATAGCAAAGTGACATTATTATAAAATATCGCGATATTTAACTATATCTTTGAAAAAAATGCCAATATCGATATCGTCCCTTTTTGCAATATCGTACAGCCCTAATCGCTGGTTTATTGAACTAATTCTGACCGATGTCACAGGTCATCGGGGTATTCGGCATTGGTGATTTGGTCGGAAAAATAGATTATTAATGACTGTTTCTCGGTGTATTCAGTATTCTATCCGAGAATTATATTCAACTAAGATTTAAATTTAATTAACAACTAGTCAACGAAATTATTATTTTAATATCAACCGGTACTTGGATTTCATAGATGTGCGATTCCCGAGCGAGATGCACAATCCATGCCGAGATTGTCTTCCTAAGTTCCTTCGATTGCCACGTGGCGATCCACAAAGGCAACTTACTGGACCTGGTATGAATAATCAGCAAACTTGTTTTGTTTTTTTACCGGATTATCAAAATTACCATTACATATATGCTAATTACTGGAATTATGAACTAATAGCTGATTCTCATTACTAAGGTATGACTGTTATTGTAGCCGACAAGCAAGTTGATTGACTATAGATGATTGAGGTATAGATGTTCATTAGGCGAATATCTTGACCGAGTTCAATGATTAATATTTGCCATTAAAGCTAAGCAGAGCTAAGCAATTTCTTTGGTCGATGCTTTGGGACAAGATAACTAACTGATGGAGAGTGATGAAACTTAGTGTATAGTTTCACTCACTACCTGGTACTTCAAAACCGGAGTTTGATAGTGCACATTTTATGCTTAGACTAAGCATAGATAATCGGTTTGATTACTCACTACTTTTGAAAAAGATAAATGTGCAATTAATAAATATGTGTCATCTGTTGTTCTTTTTGTTATTTCGGGGGCTTGTTATAACTTTATTGATGGTCTGCTTCCACCCTTCATCTCTTGATCAAATTTGAAAATAGTTCTTTTCACACTGACAAATGAGTTACTACACAATACATTGAAAATCCGTAAATCACATCCCAGGCAATACATCTTCTTTAAATCAGAAACATTAACAGTCCACTTCCTGATCAAATTCAAGTTCACATAGCCAGAAGTCAAACGTCAAAAAGGTTATGGAACTTTATAATCTTTGCTCATTACATGTACATGTAATTACCTTGAAGGAAACCTAACTTAATTAACATAATGTAATTATGAATGTGATCAAGGTTGATAATGGTAATACTAATAACATCATCCAATATGACACAGACCACTTTACCGGAAAATAAAATAAATTGATTAATGGATAACTTGATGGATAACTTGTAGTGAAGTATTGACAGTGATTTGAACCTTTTTAATAATCACAACACCCTGAAAGAAA